CCTGCAAGGGGATTAGATTTTATTGTTTGTGTTGCTCTCTGGACAGCACAGAAGAGAGATGAGGATTTAAAGGCTGGAGCCAGAAAGCAAGAGCTGACATGAAAAGAATCCAAGTCTCTGTCCAATCTGTGAGACTCTGCATGATACTGTGAGAATCATATCCAATCTGTGAGAAACAGTTCATGGCCGAGGCATAAAGCAATTAAGGTCCTGTCAGGATTACATAGAAGAACATATTTCAACCCATGAAATTTTGGGTTGAGGGAAAATGTGGGAGGGTTATTAAAGTTCTTGGAGTTTGAGCTTAAGAAAAACTGCTGGAAACAGTAAGAAGAGATTACTTTCCCCCCATCTCTTTCTCTTTCCTAAGAGTTTGAAATGGCAAAAAAAAAAAAAATGCAAGGTTCCAAGCCTGTCTGTCCACACCTCAACCGGGCCATCTTCTTCTACGTGGCTCACCTTGGCCTACGTCAACACATTCTGGCTCCTGCTAACGTAGGTGCCCTGCCTGTAGTGGATGTTCCCTCCCAGGAATCCAAGAACTGCTGATGTCTCCATGCATGCATAGGGATACAATAAAAACCTTCCCATGTTATCCCTCCTCAGTCTTCATTCTACTTTTAAAAAGTTCCTTTTAAAAGGAGGAACCATTTTTAGTTTAAGAATAGATATATTCCATTGTGTTGCGTTTTTAGCCTTTTCTCTTTCAAATCAAAGCAAAGAATCAGGGCGCGCTGAGTTGATGAGAAGGGGAGTAAAGATATACACCAACCTGCCCTCTCCCCCTTTATAAGTACTTGGCAATGGGATCATTTTGTAATCAATAACACCGGGCTGCACTCTTTGGGAAATTCTAGTTCTCTGTTTCTTTGTGACCACTTTGTTCGGAATGTGTAGGCAGTTCCACTGCAGCCAGAGAAACCTGATCGAATTTCCAAGCTTTCCATCTTATTTAGATTCTTTGTGAAAAGTCTAAGCAGTTGTTTGAAGCAAGTCTGACCAGCCACTCATTAAAGTTTAACTAGTTGTATTATCCTTCCAGAGCCAAGCACTCCTTACTGTCCCAGCTGCTCCTGGCCTGGGGTACGAAGGGTATTAGACCCCAGAAGCAGCCAATTTGGTAGCATCTTTTATTACTCAAAATTGTATTAGCATCAACACCGATTCAGATGGATGCACTGCAATAAACTGTAACCACTTGAGAAAAGCCTTTATTGTCTCTCAAGTAAATAATGCACATTTTAAAAGAACTAAATATGCATTTACATAATGTGCTATAATTTTTTATTGTGTCAACTACACACACATATCCGTGAGAGATGTTTTTCTTCTTCATAAGTTTGGGTTCATACTATCCTTTGTGTATTCCATTAGCATCGTGCCAGATTAATAATGTGCTTTCTTTCCTATGTACCTGATCTGGCCTTCTCAAAGGACATTCATGCATTTCACTGTTTGATTGGCTTAACCCCGATGACTCTTTCCACAATGGTTCAAGATACCTCGTATAATAATGAGGTATATAACAAAATGTCAAGTCCAGTATAAAGAGAGAAAGTAAGAAGTGTGGAAGAGAGAGTAGACACAGAGTAGCTGATAAGATGCCTACAAACCACACAAGGCCTGGTTTTGAGTTCCAGTTCCAGCTCCAGCTTCTGGCCAGTGCAGAAGCTGATGAGGCAGTGTTAATGCTCGAGTCGTTGACTTCCTGCCACCACCACAGACCAGGGTGGCAGTCCCAGGGCCTGGCTCCCACAGCCGCTGCATGTCAAACAGGTGGCAGTTTCTCCCTCTTTCTCTCTCTCTCTCTCTCCTTCTTCCCTCTCCCCCATTTGGCTCCCTAAGCCCTTCCTCATACTCATAATAGGAAAAAAAAAAAAGGAGAACAATAAAAAATACCTTAACTTGGACCTTCAAGGGTCTCATTGCCCATTGAAAAGGCAATAGTCATCCAGAGAAAATGACATATATTGAAGAATAATCAGTAGGTATTTACAGTATCTATAAAACAGCTAGAAAATAAAGCTCAGGATCTTGGGTGATTTTTATCCTGTTCCACATTGAACTGATGACTGAGCCAGAAAGTTCTAAGTATAAAAAAGTAGGAGCTGAAGGGTTGAAAGGATGACCCTTTAAAATACAGACTCAGCAGTTGTCTAATTTAAAACTATAGGCCACATGATTTCCTAGTATTAATTAAGAATTAATTGATCCTTATAAATCAGCCATTGTAGATTTAATTCCATGTGGTACCACATATTCTCAGGCTTAAATTGTCACAAGAAAAAAGTGAATAAATTACTTTTAGTAAAATACTCTTATTATAAAGAAACTAAGATCTGAATTTAAATTGCTACTGATTTTCTCTTATATATTTAAAAACAAAATAAGGGCAGAGATCTGTTTTATGGTTAGCCAGAAGAGTTCATGATCCTCTTGAGTTTTATATCTTCTTCCACATTTCTTTAACTCATATCTGTCCGCCTCATATTTGCTCAAGTGAATTTTTCCATGAGCATTGCCTGTTGGTCCCTACAGTCTCACAGTCTGTCCCTCACTCATCACTTCCATCGAGAACCTGAAGCAATGCCACATTATCCTTAAGTTCAGCCTCCATGGTGCTCTTGCCAGTGGTCTTGCCACCTTGTGTCTGACCTGTTGTGAAACTTGATCACATCCTTTTGTTAGGCAAAACATGTTCCCAGCTTGGTTTGGAGAAAGTGCCTTCCGTTCTTCATTAGTAACCATCTAGTCAAAGAGGAGTCCTGGATCACCTTCCTGACTGTATCACATTAGACCAAAGAATAATTCGTTTGATTCGTGGAAGCTCACCAGAGCCATTTAACCTTTTTGCCTTCGGTTGTTAACTCAGAGATAATAATAGATGCCAATCATCACCATTCATTGTATGAAGTCTTAAATTTTGACAATTTTTTAAAATCTCCCTTATAGAGCTCTTTTCCAGACATACAGCCCCAGTTCTGGCAGGCTTTGTTCTATATTGGTTCGTATGGCTATTTCATGTCTGTGCCACTCACTTACTCAGAGATCAGATACTGATTGATGCATGTTTGGTCTACACATATGACAGTGAACAGTGAAGCAGCTGGAAAAGCTATTTACTAAGATGAGAAGGAGGGTAAATTTGAGAGGGGAAAGTGAATGAAACTCTGATTCAAATAGCTTATATTCAAGATATTCTTAGTTGTATGACTGAGGACAAAACTTCATCTCTTTTGACTAAACTTTGTCTCACAAGCCCATAAAATGTGCTCATGAATGTTAATATAATAGATGAAAGATTGTGCGAAAGGTAGTGTTCCATTTGATCATCTGTAAGACCTGAACTGTCCTGTTCTCATCTCCACCCTCATTTCCACCCTTAAAGGCTGCAGATGCCCCTTGGAACCACGCACACCTAGCCATCTACGTCATTATTTAGAAAATGCCCAGTCATGCGGAGGTGCCCCTAAGGAACAGAAACCCTGCCCAGGCATCAACAAGCACTGCATTCTTTATACTGTCCTTGGATAATAGCAGTTAGGATGATCCATCTTACTTGGGCTTCTCTTCAATTTTATGAGATATTCTTGGTATTAGGAAGGTCTTTCTCTCCCAAAATGGGACATTCCTGAGTTTTTTTCTTTATCAGATGCTCTTGAGTGTACAGTCTTAAACTGTAAAATGCACCGAAACCATAAAGACGCTCATCTGCTGTAATCTGGGAGTGCTTTCTCTAGCCTTCATTGAGAAGTGAGAGTTTCTATCTTGGCTTGACCTGGTTTGAGTGTCTTCAATTCTCACTTTGTGTCGTTCTTATCCCCATTCGGTTTCTCATTCATCTTTCCAATTCAAACACAAAGGTCTTAGAAAAATTAATACTAGGACAGGCATGTTAGCCTAGTGATTAAGACATTACTTAAGATGTCCTGTTCCATATCAGAGTATATGTGCTTAATACCCAGCTCTGGTTTTTAGCCCCATCTTTCTCCCACCCATGAGGACTTAACCTGGACTTAGTTCCCAGCCTCTGCTTTCTGCCCACCCCAGACCTGGTTGGACACCCAGTCATTTGCAAGCCTTTGATGAATAAACCAATGGGTAGAAACACATGCCATCTCTTTATTGGTTTCGCTATCTCTGTTTCTCCATCTTCATCTCCTTCCCAATCTCCATCTCTGTCCCTTCCTTTCTGCCATCAAACAATACATTTTTGCATATAAAATATTTTCTTATACAAACTTTATCAGAGTTCAAAGGTAAGGAAGCAGTAGTCTTTTCTTGTTTGTTTTTATACATTTATATAGGCAGAGAGCCAACATTTTCACAGGGGTCACTACCTAATCAGCCTGTGGGTTACCCTGCTGTAACATTTATCCGTTCCTCATTTTGGCTTTGAAATGAGAGAGAAAAAAGAGAGAGAGAAAGGAAGAAAGAAAAGGTGATACTTCCTGTGTAAAGTGAGGCGCTCAAATTGCACAGGTTCATTAAGTGATCATTTACTACATACTTCAAAAAAATTTCACCCTGAATTAGTCCCTAGAAATTTCCTTGAAAGGGGTATAAGAGCGTTAACAATGAATTATTGTCTGTGGATAGCTCAGCATGAAAGGGGACCCATATGTGCACACTCAAATTTGTCATGTGTAATGTCAGTTCAATCAGGTCTCATCTACCAAATACATTTTTTATTGCTTGCTTCATTAAAAAGGCTCTTAAGGTAATGAATAATCTTTGGCTTCACGAAGGATTATTAATGTCTATATAACTCATGTCCACTGAAAATAGAGAGACAGCTTGAAACTCTACCCTAATCTAACCTCCATGTTGTCTTAGAGCCTTTGGGAAAAAAATCTATCAGACGGATTCAGTGTTAAAATCAGTCACTTGAGCAGTGCTGTGAACTGGGCCAGGAGAGGAAAGAAAAGAGGAAGTTGACTCAGGTTCAGCTGCGCAAAGCCTTCTCTTCTTACTAACGCTGCTGTTTTCTCTTCCCACAGCAAGTCCACATGCAACACCATCGACTCTTCATTTTCCAACATCACCCATTATCCAGCAGCCTGGGCCTTACTTCTCACACCCAGCCATCCGCTATCATCCTCAGGAGACGCTGAAAGAGTTTGTCCAACTTGTCTGCCCTGATGCTGGTCAGCAGGCTGGACAGGTGGGGTTCCTCAATGTAAGGAAACCTCTCTTTTTCCTTTTTTTTTTTGAGAAATGTTAACTGAATGTAAAAATAACAGGGGGAGACCTTATGACCATGTGACATGGCTCTCTGATGTTGTGTTGGCTGACTGCAGGCAAATGTCATATTTATTCTTGATTGTGGGAAAGTTAACTTGCTCTAAGAGTGATGAGCCAGGGTTTCAAAACAGTGTTTGTGTTAAGTTTGCAACTGTCAAGTTTATGAATATAAATCATCTTGAGAGTGAACCATATAACCTTCTAAGTTCTGTGGGCTGATAATTTCACCTCGTGCATTCTAACCCTAGGGCTCCTACAGTTAACAAAATAGAAAGACCAAATAAGTTTAAATAATGATTTGGGGTAGCCGAGAGAGGTTTGGGGATAAGCAGACAGATGTTTCAGATCAACTACGTTGATATTTTTTTTAAATATGGCCTTCTGACACTTTAGATCAAGTTGACCAGTACTTGAACTCAAGATGCTAGAAGTACAGTTTATTATAGTTTGTTATTTCTGCAAATAGTTATCTTTCCCACTTATCTTTGTATAAAGCTAAACAGTGTTCAATAACACCAAATGAATGTTTTCATTTTTTTCCTCAAATAAACCACATAATCACAATGTAGAACATTCCAAGTGTAAAAATGCCTGTTAAAAATCACAAGTTTTATTTCAAACACAGAACTAAAAATTTATGATAAGTAGGTATATTCCAAAGACCCAAACTGAGAATCAGCAATGACCAGCTAAAGCCAAATTTGGTTTTCCTTTCCTCCAAGTTACTGCACATGAAGCCACAAATTAGCCATAATTATTATTGCCTAATTTAGGATATTATGTGTGCCCTGTCCTGTCACTGGTTTTCTTCCCTCGCCAAAATACCTGATTCTGCATATCTGAGTGCAAACAGGCAGCTTTGACTAATGTCTGGTGATGTGTTAGCAGATACATTTTTGTCTAGACAACAAATCAATACAGTGCTGGTTTTTTTTCTTCTTGCTTGTGTATTCATTTGCTGGGCTCATTCTAAAGCATTCACTTAAGGACTTTCAACCCACTCAAAAGAAAAAAAAAAAATCACAGAGGCAAGTTTGCTGGCAAGAAAGCCTAGCTTCCTGATGGTCAGACGAGATAGTCTTTAAAGAGCAATACTACTAAATGTATAAGTGAATGTTGGTGGGGGACTGGAGAGGGTGGGCGGCAGTGTGTGAACCTGTTTCTGTGGAATTATTAAGCTTCAACTCAGAGGCCTGGGACAGCAACATCTTCTCCATGAGCTCTGGGGAGAGGGTGCTGAGAGGGTAGACTGAACATGAGCTGTTATTGTTGGCTGAAGAGTATCACTAATGTCTGGAATTTCAGTAGAAAAAACTCACTTGGGAAGCAGTGACAAAAAGAAAAAAGAAAAGAAGAAAGCTAAGCTAATCGCAATCCAATTTCTGTATCTCAAGCTTTTAAAAAAAATTCTAACATCAACCTATGTGACTGTCAAAGGGCCAGTTTTGCATTATGATAAAAATTTTGTTGACTTGAAGGCAAGTCTTTTTACATAACTATTATGGTAAACTGAGAAAGTGAATATTATTGCTGTCTTTAGAAGGAAGCTTTCTTTTGTTAGAGAGCTGTTCTTTGATTGTTGGCATCAGGCAGCCAAATAAATATAACTGTTATGGCATATGCTAATACAACTTAAATCAAAATTAGAAGTAATATTTTCCCCTACCAGATTTTTGACAGCTGAGTTCTAAAGTCATTGTGCCTGATGTTACACAATATGTGAAAGACTTTTTTTATGTTCAGTTAACACATTTATTAAATGTTATATAATATCAGCTTTACAGAGTGAAAATACAATATTGGGATTTTTTCATCTCAGATGCCTATTTAGGAAACTTCATACCTGTATAAATAGACATGATGGAAATATTTAATATTCATGAGAAGAGTGATGAAAGTAATAGTTCATTAGAACCAAAATGTTCCAATGAAAAGCTGGCTACTTGAGTAACAAATACAAAGTGATCATTGGCAGGTCATTTTATGGAACCAGTTGCAGAGACAGTTTAGTTCAGGAGCTACATTTAATGCACTGGGCAATGTCCCTCAGTGTAACAACAAGATCGACAAGTCTTTATTCACATTGTCTTAGGAAAGAATTCACATGGCTTTGAATACTTAGTACTTTATGTTAAATGTACCAAATGAATCATTTTTCAGAAGCAGCTAATGGTTGTTGTTTATCTCTTCCTTTTCTTGTGTGCTTTTTGCTACTCTACATACAGCCCAATGGAAGCAGCCAAGGCAAGGTGCACAACCCATTCCTTCCAACCCCAATGTTGCCACCACCACCGCCACCACCGATGGCCAGGCCTGTGCCTCTGCCGGTGCCAGACACGAAGCCTCCAACCACATCAACAGAAGGAGGCGCGGCCTCCCCCACCTCACCAAGTAAGTGAGGCTAAGACAATGTGCTGGTCACTTTACATTCATGTGCAAGCTTTGTATTCATGTGCATAACTGCATAGGCCATAGCTACAGGCAAGAATTTCAGAGATGACCTGTGCCATGAATTTTGCAGCTGAGGTCAAAGTCAAAATCGATTGACATTCTCACATACTGTCAACTACACCAATATGCAAACAGGTGTATAAGATGGTATCATTATATGCCTGGGACTAAAATCAAGATAGAAGCTATTGAAAAATGTTTTAAGTGGCTTTGACTACTATCCCCATGATCAGTGAACTGCATCAAGTTGCATGAATTCTCAGTAGTAAAATATTCCTCAGTGTTCTGTCTGGCCTTGCCTTCCAGGAACTTGCAGTCCAACAGAAATGTAGATAGTAAGATAATGCTATATACCATATACATCAAATAGAAGGAAAAAAAAAGGTTCAGTTCAAAGTTGCAATTCAAGGTGTCTGCATTGAACATTTGCCAAGAGTAAGAGCCTGGCAGAAGATCAGAGCTAGTAGCCATGGCATTTGTATGGCTTGGCAGGAGGAAGAAATAGGGGGTAGAATTGACTGCAAAAAGATAAGAACTATTGGTGCTTCTCTGAATAGTCTGGAAACATTTGATGGGAGAAGATAGGATTTCAAAACCTTGTTAGATGATGGGAATGATTCCTTGATGAGCTAGAAAGAGAAGAGTTCTCCAGATATTTCCTAATATTTTAGAGATGTCGAGTGGATATAAAGAACTTGAACCCACAAATGTGATTTTTATTAGTGCCTGCAATGTCACTAAGTGACAGAAGGATTGACGGCTGGAGTTCCCAAGTGATGGATGGTCTAGCCTTGATAGGTGGTGCCATGAGCACCTCCCATAAACCTTCAGACAGAGATCAATTGTAAGAAAGCATAAGAACACTGGGAGTGGCCCTTATGGAGAGACTTAAAGGAGGTCTTTGAAGAAGATAAGGCTCATATTCAGGAATCCACTGAGGAAAAGAAGAGGAACAGACCAGGAAAGGAGCATTAGAGTCAAGAAACTGGATGCCCATAATAGGAGCTGAATGAAAGGGATTAGACAGAGGGATATTTTGTCCACATAAATTTGGAATTGGTCCTCATTTTGATGAGTTTGGTGATTTGAGGCTCAGCTGCATTACATTAATGATTACATTAGGATCATAATGATAATGGGTACAGGAGGGAGAGGACCAAATAAGGAATATGCATCCCTGTTTATGCCATATTCCATAGACATGGTTCTAGGGACTGGACCCGAAATGGTTAACAACCCCATGGACGAGTATCAGAGTGTGGCACCCTGAGTTCTCCAGTATTGTGCTAGTGGTTAACCATGTAGAAACACCAGATCTTGTGCGTGGATTATGTAACTAGCAAAGAGATCAAAGTTCTAGGGATAATTTTGATTAGACCTACTTCTCTTTGTAAGAAATGATTCAGTACTTGTCCCCCACATTCTGCATGTTCAACAACATTGGAATCAAGCCAGGCATGGCCCCTGTATCTGGGAAGTTCAACTCAGAGGAGAGTCCGAGAAGCAAAGGCTTGTAGGAGTGTCACATTTATTGTGTATTTATGTACCATCTTTGAATAAGCTAGAGAAATAACTGTCTGCAAACTCTAATTCCATCTGTTCACTGGAAATATTGACTTACCAGTTGGTGCCCACATACTTATTGTCTCTCTACATGCCTCTGCATTCTATTTTTCTCTTCCTCTTCTCATCTGCACAGAACATTGCTACAGTCCTTTAAAAGCCTTGCAGTGATATCCCACCCATTCCTCACTTTACTAATTAATCACAGGCTTCCTAGTGACTTTATAGTAAGGAGATGAAGCTCAGCTGGAACTATTGATGTGAGGCTATTGGAGCTTCAGAGAAAGGTCTAAGTTGTGTTCCACTCTGTATCATCTTCCTCTTTTAGAGTGTCAGTCGTAATATCTTTCTGGGCACTGGTATGAAATTAGCCATAATTTCAAACTCCTCACCAAGTAAATGAGAGCATTTTTTTATTACTTGCCTAAACTCTTACCACGTGGAAGGCCTCATGCTCGGGCAATGACAAAGGACAACTGTAGGTTTAGAGAAGCTACTTAACCCCCCTCAATCTAGTTGATGTCTTTGGGTACATAGTTTTGAACTGTACTTCATGATTTGAACTAAATGCCTTTTATACAAACACACCTGTTTTCCCAGGAATTTTATAACACTGTGGCAGGAGGGATGGAAGGAGTCTTAGCAAACCCAACTCATATGGTTACATATTCATCACAGCCAGATCTAAAAGTTGCAGGAGTGACAGGCCCAGAGCTTGACATCAGTAATGTGATACTACTTTTTGAATCATTGGATTCTAAAGATGCAAGCAAAACAAAGTCTTCTACCGAGAGTGTATGAAGTTTTTATAATCATAAATTTTAGCCCCTGTTGCTGGACTTTTCTAGAGTGTGCTGAATACACAGTATTATGTTGTTTCACAGCAATATATAACATACCATTTTCTGCCTGTTTGTAGCATAGTGATAGGCTGGGAGAGCTGTAATTTATAATATAGAAGGCTTTTGAGTTAAAAATCTAATTTCCATTCATCTTTGGGAAAGGATTGAAAGCCACTACCAAAACCAAACAATTTTTAGCTGTGCCCTGATTACCAAATTAATTAATAAATAAAATATGAAGGAAATCAGGTGAAAACAGAAAATTGCCTTCAGTACTAGAGAATTTAGCTTGTAAGTAAGGCAAGCATGCTGGCTAATACTGGACCCCTAATTGCACTGAATTAGCTACCCAGGCACTGGTGGCACTGGACTTCCACAGATCTTCCACCTTGAGGTTTGCCCTCTCATATGTAGCTGATGGCCATGGAGGTACAGGCAGCATTGTGCTTCTTGACAGCCTTGACTCCTTATGAGAGGAAAGGCAGGGGAAGGGCTGGTCACTCCCAGTTGCCACTTGAAAATTCTTTGGAGAGAATAGTGGGAAGGCGGTAAGGAATCCAAAGCATATGGAAAGGAATGAATGCCACAAGTGAAGTTGCCCCCCCTTCTCTAACATTGATCCGTGATGATTGCCTTCTTTTCATTCCTATATTAAGCTTTCATATATTGAGAACCCAGAAGATACTAGGAATGTTAGCTGATTGGGATACAAAGATGATTATTGCCTGCTCTCAACAAAGGGGAATTTATGGAAGGGAGCAGCTGGTAAACAGATCATTTGCAGAGGACAGTGCTTGGATAAAGGCGTGCCAGAGTCCTAGGGGTAGACATGGATAAGAGGGGCCTTAGTCCAAGCATGGCCTTTGGGTAAAGATGTTTTGGAGGGGATGAGGTCTTAGCTCTCGAGTAGGAAGGATATGCTGGTGTTTTAAGAGAAGGTCAGACTTTTTTCAGAAAACAAGGGGGACATCCAAAATTGGATTGCCATCAGATTAAGAATTAGAGGCAACATTATTTTCACAAGTCATGTATTTTCTTAGAAACTAAAAGTATAGGGTGGATGGATCCTGTTTATCTGTGTCACTTAATTACAACTCAGCTTTAGTAAGAAACATCATGGCAAAGTATTAGCTGCAGTTGTTCAGCATTCCTACAAGATGTCCCAGTTCTGAGAACTCTTTTTTTCAAAAAGTCTAATTGTATAACTTAGGATAGCCTTTTTGGCCTATGGGTTTGAAATGATTTGCAGTAAAGTAAGATTTCAAAAATTAAAAATAGGAAATCATGTCTGTAGCCTCCCACATTACTGGTTTTTTTGGGGGAGCCTCAACTTCTTTTCTGTAAATGGAAATAATGTGACCACCTCTCCCCACTCTCATGGAGAACAGAGTGACAGATGTGCCAGGTTGGGCTGCAGACAGTTACAAGTCCAGGGCATCGTTTTTAATATCCTTTTACCATGAAGTACAAATGCATCCCTACCTAGAGCAGAGCATGTTTTTCTTAACTGATGAGTTGCCTCTAGCATGAATACTAAACTTTGCAGCTGTGGAAAGAAAAATGAGAGCAAAACAGGTCTGGAAAGTAGAATATGTTTGCCCATGGAACAGATACCATTTTGATGGGGCAAATCCTTACCAATGCCCTAAAAGTCAAGGAAGTGGGGGCGGGGGTGGATAACTGTTGTGCTCTCTCTCAGTGAAAACTTTTATCCTCTGGCTGTGTTTGGAGGCAAAGGATGTCAGGTGTCTTCAGGCTCCCATGCTAAAAACAGAAGGCACAGCCCGTAATACAACTCACTGTGCCTGTGCTCCGTTCCCACTCCTGAGCTACCCCTGCAGTTCACACCCTTTGAGAAGAGCACTGCTTTCATTCATTCAGCAAATGCTTTTTCTGAATTTGTATTCGTTTAGTTTATTATCCGAAAGGCAGAAAGACAAAAAGAGAGTTAGAGAGACCTCCCATCTGCTACTTACTACCTCAATGCCTGTAACAGCCAGGGCACAGCTGTACCAAAACCCAGAGCTGGAAACTTGATCCAAGTCTCCTGTGTGAGTGGCAGGGACCCAAGTACTTGATCATCTGCTGTCTCCTGGCGTGTGCGTTAACAGAAACCTGGAATCAGGGGCCGAGATGGAACTTAACCTGGGATGTGGGCATCCGAAGTGGTGACTTAATCATGCCAATGCCTGCACCTCAATAAATATTTATATCTATTATATATCATTATTAACTGTAGGGGTTAGGATTCAGCAGGAAATAAAAAAGATGAAACCTCTGACCTTATGGAATTTTTGTTCTAGAAGGGAAAAAAAAATCTAGAATGCATGTGTGAACGGTAGGTAGGGTGTATGATGTGGTTACAAAGCTGTAATCTGGGAAGATGAGGCAAGGACATTTGGAAGTGTTAAGAATAGGATACAGCTTTAAAGGTGGTGGGAGAAGGGAAACGTAAGTAAAGCTCAACTGTGACTGCTGTGTTGTTGAGCTGAACAGGATCCTGAAGCAGGATGGAGCCACCACCACCAGGATAGG